AACACCACGTTAAACAACCACAGAGAGCTGAAGTGGGACACCTGCTTTAGAATTGAGTCAGTCATTGGTGCTTTTAGGCTTTCCCCGAGGAGATGAGGTCCAGCTTTCCCCCCTTTCTGCCACCCCTCCCTCCCAATCTCCAGGCACACACAGCCAGGGACCACCCCTATACCCACCTACAGCCTGCAGGCACCAACTAAGGTGAGCACCAACTAAATCCTGCCCCAAAACACCCAAGACATTCTCAAACCTCACCTCAGTGCTCCCAAAACAGCTCTGAAACAGTTGGGCACGTAGATTTTTTAGTTTTGCAGGTTAACCCTCTGAGGACCAAAAATTTGGAAGAGAAGCAACCTGACCTGAATTGTTCATTTCAGTGGCATTTTTCCAAGGAAGTGAGTATAGAAGGGGGAGAAAATAGGAAAGGAAAAAGCAAGGAGCGTTTGAGAGAGAAAACACTAAGTACCATCAGCATTTATGTCATTAAAAGCTGAAGGAATCACAGAATTATAGAATGGTTTGGGGTGGAAGGGACCTTGAAGCTCATCCATTCCACCCCCTGCCACGGGCAGGGACACTTTCCACTATCCCAGGTTGCTCCAAACCTTGTCCAACCTGGCCTTGGACACTTCTGCGTGGTTGCTTCAGTCTTTTACTAACACAGATTTTCTGCACTAGACACATCAGATATCCCAATATTGCTCTTTACTAGCAGTAAATACCGACATTTCTCCTGGTTTAGACGCGTGTGTGGGGACCGGGAAGGATCCTCTTCCTATGACATGAATCTGCTCAAGATCATCAGAACCTTTTCACCCGTGACACAGCTGAAGGTCGCCCTTCAGCCTTCGCATACAGGTACCGACGCCGCGTGTTTAAGAGCTGGAGGGTGTAAAGCGGGTGTTTTTAATGAACTTCTAGTTAACTTTGATGAACTGCCCCCTCCCGTTCACTCCGCGGTACCGCGGCCGCCCCGCGCAGCGCAGCCCCTCGCTGCCTTCCCCGGGCTCTGCGGGGTCCCCGCGGCAGGGGAGGGGACGCCAGTGTGGCCGAACGCGGGCTCGGTGTCCCCCCCGTGTCCCTCGGTGCTCCCCGGTGTCCCCCCGGGTCCCTCGATGCCCGAGCTCTGCCGCTACCTGGTGGCTGGAGGCGGTGGCGCAGCCCCGACCTGCGCCCGCCCAGCCGGCTGGAAACTCCTTATTTACTCTTATTTACCCTTATTTACACTTGTTGACCTTTTTTCCCCACTTACTGACCCTTGTTTACACTGTTTCCGTGGGTGTTTCAGGAGGAACCAGCTCAGGCCCTGCTGCAGTCCCTGTATGCAGTGACAGGACACTGCGCTCACCGAATGCAGGCTGGGTATCCCCTGGTGTCCCTCAGTGTCCCAAGGTGTCCCCAGTGTCCCTCAGTGTCCCCTGCTGTCCCTCAGTGTTCCCCAGTGTCCCCAAGTGTCCCAATGTGTCCCCAGGTGTTCCCCAGTGTTCCCCACTGTCCCTCAGTGTCCCCCGGAGTCCCCAGGTGTCCCTCAGTGTCCCCACTGTCCCTCAGTGTCCCCTGGTGTCGTGCAGAGTCCCTCAGTGTCCCCAGTGTCCCATGGTGTCCTGCTGACTCCCTTAGTGTCCCCCGGTATCCCCTGGTGCCCCCAGGTGTCCCTTCATGTCCCTTGGTGTCCCCTCATGTCCCCTGGTGTCCCTCAGTGTCCCCAGGTGTGGCAGCTGAGCACAGCAGCAGGAGGAGCAGCGCTCTGTGCCTCACACTCCTCCTCTGTGATTAAAGCTGGTGCTCTGAATGGAGGGGGAATTCCCCAAAGGGCTTTTAGTGGCATCTGGACAAGGGTCAGACCATGAGAACATTCCACAGGGTGCCCAAATCCACTGTATCTTGGATACATTCAAAGCCTCCCCACTGTGCTGTTCATCCCAGGTGCTGCTTTGGGGAGGCTGGGGGCTGTTTGGGAGGCTGGGAAGGTGGATGGGAGTTTGGGGACTCTCTCACAATGTCCCCACAGCCTTCACCCCTCCAGGCTGCCCCAAAAATGCCAAAGCTCAAGCAGCACCACTGCTCTCTGAAAGCAGCTTCCCACTGGGATGCCCCAGGAAATCCTGGGTAAAGGCAGCAAATGCACCTTAGAGACTCACAGCACTTAGAGTGAGACTTTAAAAAGTGTTTGGTGCCTTCAGCAAAGTATTCCCCAGGGAGCCAGGGGCTTATCCTGTTTTTGCCAGCCCTGGGGGACACTGGGATGCTCCAAAAACCTGGCTGGAACCATCCCAGCTACCCAAAAGCACTTGAGTGCCTTTGGAAATCTTACTCTCCTGCCTTTCCACTTAATTTGTAGAAAACTCAGTGCCTGGGAGGTCCCACTGCACCCAGAGAGGCACATGAAAGAATCACCTCTGGAGCAGGCAGGCCCCTGTTTTTGTGAGGAAAGTGTTATGTAAAACTTTTATAAGAAAATTTTTATGTATTTTATTAAAGCAAATCAACTGCAAATACAAATAAATACAAACTTTTACTTCAGTACTTTAAAGTGCAGGATAATGAAACAGAGGTGCCTGTTGGGCAGAAGTCAGAAGGGAAAACCAACCTTTGGGAGTGTTTGTCCTTGTGCTGGAAACTGGAGACAGGAAAATCATATTGCAGAGAGACTGCTGGATTCACAAAATACAGAGAATAATTTAGGTTGGAAAAGCCCTCTGGGATCATCAAGTCCAACCATTCCCCCAGCACTCACTGTGAAGGCCACAGGTGCCACATCCACACAGCTTTTAAATCTGTCCAGAAATGGTGATTCCACCACTGCCCTGCGCAGCTGTGTCAGGGCTGGACAACCCTTTCCATGGAGAAATTTTCCCAGTATCCAACCTGAACCTCCCCTGGTGCAACTTGAGGCCATTTCCTCTCGTTCTCTGGGAGCAGAGCCCTCCTGCGTTCATCCCGCAGTGCCCCAAAGTTCTCCACTTGAATTCCTCCTTCCCTCAGTTTTCTGTGCGGGTTTTAGTGTTTCAACGTCAGCTCTTTTCCCTCGGGTTCGCCCCAGGAGCCCGGGACCGAACCACCACTCGTGGGCTCCTCTGCCCTCCCTCCGCACCGGGACAGGGAGGTGACACACGGAGGGGTCGGGCCCGTGTCCCTGCTGGGCTCCAGCTGTGAGCGGGGCCGGAGCAGATGCCGATGTGGGCAGGGAAGAGCCCCCGGTGCGAGCTGTGGGGAGCCCCGGGTGCGGGCAGGAAGACTGGGGGTGACAGCCCCTCGTGGTGCAGGGGTGGCTGAGGATGGAGGCCCCGGGCGGCCGTGGCGGGGCCGGTTCGAGCGAAGGCAGGAGAGCAGCAGCCAAACGGCTGCGGCTGCACCAAGGGGGAAGGTGAAGGGGGCCGGGTGGCGGAGGCGCTGGGGGCTCACCGAGAGGGCGGGAGACCCGAGTGCGGTGTCAGGATCGATCAACGGGCGGGCCCAGAGGTGCCCGGGGGTTGCCGAGCGGCCCCGCCATGTACGACCCACGGGAGGGCTCCGCAGCGCTTCCGGGTTCACCGGCCGGGACGGTGTCCCCGCAGGATCAAAAAGGTGGAGAATCTGCGGTCACGTGCCCCTCTTTCTCCCCCGAAGCATGCCGGGAGTTATAGTCTTACAGCGGTTGGCTGCAGAGGTCCGTTGGGACTCGCGGTGCATGCCGGGAGTTGCAGTCTCGCCGCTTTTACAAGTCGCATGCGCAGTGGTGCCCAGCGCTCGCTGGCGCCCCCCGTGGCCCAGCGCGGGCACTGCAGGTCAACCACCCCCGGCCCCCTCAGCGCCCCCGGCGGCGCCATCTTGGATCGGGGCGGCGGGGGCGGTGATTGGGGGGGGGAATCGATCGGGAAAAGGGATAAAATCTGGGGAAAAAGCTCGTCCTCGATACAGGGAGGATGTGGAGCTGTTGGAGTGAGTCCAGAGGGCGACACAAAGATGCTGTGAGGACTGGAGCCCCTCTGCTCTGGAGCCAGGCTGGGAGAACTGGGGGTGTTCACCTGGAGAAGGCTCCAGGGAGACCTGAGAGCCCCTTCCAGTGCCTAAAGGGGCTCCAGGAGAGCTGGAGAGGGACCTGGACAAGGGATGGAGGGACAGGACAAGGGGGAATGGCTTTAAACTGAGAAGGGGCAAGGCTAGATGGGATATTGGGAAGAAATTCTCTGTGAGGGTGGTGAGGCCCTGGCACAGGTTGCCCAGAGAAGCTGTGGCTGCTCCATCCCTGGAAGTGTCCAAGGCCAGGTTGGACAGGGCTTGGAGCAACCTGGGCTAGTGGGAGGTGTCCCTGCCCATGGTAGGGGGTGGAACGAGATGAGCTTTAAGGTCCCTTCCAACCCAACCCATCCTGTGATTCAATAAAAAAGGATGAAAAACACTCTGATTACAAACAACATTTTTTAAAATTTATTTATGTAATTTATTAAATATGGACAAACACCAGATGTTGCCACTCAGGGGAGAGAAACAGAAACCCCTGGTCAGTGGGAGAAGGCTCTTGTCCACCCCGTCTGCAGTGCCCAGGTGATGCTGAGGGTGCTCCAAGCTGCACCCAAACCTCCCCATCCATCCTGTGTTTGGGAGGAGAGCGGGATGGCAGGACATGTGCCCCCTCCTCCAGCCAAGTGTGGGAGATCAACTCTCTCTCCAGAGCTGCAAGAACAGGATGCTCATGCGCCCGCTGCCACCTCCCAAAACTCCCCAAACCCATGAAGCCGGGTACCCACCTCCTGAGATCTGCTGGAAGAAGAGCTGTCCCCAGATGATGTCCTCATCCTGCTCAAAGGGGATGTCCCCACAAACCAACTTGTAGAGCAGGACACCCAGGGACCAGATGGTGGCTGAGTGGCCGTGGTAGCGACAGAAGCGGATCCACTCTGGGGGGCTGTACACTCATGTTCCTGTGGGACACAGGAGCTCATCAGAGCCCCCTGGGGATGTGGGGACTGCCTGGGGTCACACAAAGTGACCCACTGAGGGACCCCTTCTTGCCCTCACCTGACCCTTAGTTGCAAACTCTGAGGTGTAAAATGAAGGCGCCAGTGCGGGAATAGAGCAGTGGGACCCCGGGCAAGGCCTGATTGTTAATGCAAGGGAAAAACCCCACCCACATGTGGGAAAAAAACCTGTGTTTATCCACCCTTGAACTGGCCAAAACCCCCCCAGTCAATAAGCCAACTAAAGAAGGGGAGCAGAGCAGCCCAAACCCCCTGCAAACCAAACCAGCCAGTGCTTGGGTTCTGAACCCCCTTGTGTGACCCCCCATGGGTGTTTTTGTCACATTGGCTCCCCTTGCTCCATCCTGAGCCAGGGTGGGTGATGGAGGCTGTCAGCAGGACCAGGAGCTCCTGTTTCACAATATCCATCTCGTGCCAAACAGCAGCTTGGCAGCGGCTGAACGAGGAATGAATCCTGTCCCCTCCAGCCAAAGGGGAACCTCCGGAGCCTGGTGGGCTCACCTGCACTTTGGGTGTAGAGGAACGTGCCCCAGCCAAATTCAATCACAGAATCATTTCTGTTGGAAAAGACCTCTGAGATCATCAAATGCAACCTTTGACTGATCACCACCTTGTCACCCAGACCAGTTGTAGCATGAAGTGCCACATCCAGTAGCTTTTTGAGCACCTCGCCGGTGGCCAGGTCCACCAACCCCTCGGGAAGAGGCTTGGAAAGCTTTTCAGGACTGGGGAGGGCCGGCAGCGCTTAAAAAAGGGAAGAAAATTTAAAAATCGGGCGGTTTTCTGCAGACCCGCCTGTTTTGGGAGGCCGGGGCTGACAGCAGAGGGCGGCACGGGCTCGTCGCTGGAGCCTCAGCACCTGCGGGCTTTGCCCTGATCCAACCTCTCGCTGCTCTTTTCCCTCTCCATCAGCGGCTCCCGGGGTACAGGGAGACATTCCAGGGGGGCAGAGCAGGCCCTGGATGTCACAGCGAGCCCAGGATCTCTGACAGCGAGCCCTGAATCTCTGTCAGCTTTCGATTCTGAACAAGACTGAAACTCGAGAGAGAAGAATCAGTTCCTTTTCCCATCCTGAAGCTGAAGCGGAGAAGGGAAACTTCGGAGCTGGCAAAATTAGCACATTCTGGGGTCCCCAGCTGCAGGGAGAGCACTGCCCTCCTGGTCAGAGGGGCTGTGTTGGACTAGCAAAGTTTCCAGGAAGGAGCTGGGTGGAAACACCGCTCCTTCCACCCAGAGTTCAAAACCTCTGGGATACGAGGTGTGACCAACAGGGTTATCACAAATCCCTTCATCCCGTAACACGACTGCAAACTCTGGGAAATGGAAACCATCCCCCATGGGAGCGGGAGCTCTCGGTGTCAGTGGAGTCCCAAAGTCACTTTTGGCATCTGTGCATCCCCCAAAGCTCCTTTGGATACTTGGTGTCCGCTCTGCCTAAGGCAGGGTGGACAGGCTTTGCTGTTCCTCCCCAGCCTGAGGGCTGGATCGTCCCGGGAGTTTTCTCTCTCATTTTCCATTGCAATTCACGCATCATCTTCTCCTGCTTCATATCTTATCAAGACTTTGTTTGGAAACACCCCACGGAGCAACAGTGGATGGACCCCTCCCCAGTGGCAAGGGAAGGGGGTTCATTGTCTGCTCTGCCCACACCCTGCTCCGCTCCCAAAAGGTGAGAAAACCCACCCTGGGGGTGCGGGAAAGGATGAAATCCAAGCCCTTGGCATTCACAGCTGCGCTTTGATTGCATCGGGTCTTGATTAGCCAGGGCAGGAGCCACACTGGCACAAACGGAGCCCAATTTATGTGCTTGGAGGGGGATCTACGCACACCTGGGCATCTGTGTGCACCCCTGCGCGCACAGGGGGATGCTACAGCGAGCAATCTACTACAGGTGGTAGCCTGGCACCGGGATTACACTGGCATGGCACATCCATGCTGTGCTTGGCAGAGCGGGGCTGCATTCCCTTGGGGTCAGTTCTGATGCTGAGGGGCCCAGCCCTGCCCGGCCGTTTCGGGGAAAGAGATGAAGAATTTGGGCAGAGGGTGACCTGAAATGACGTTTTACTGCTTCTGTTTTTCTCACAGCTTCGGTGGCAGGGTGAGAACTTTGTCCCCGGCACCCACTCGCCCCTCTCATTCACACACGTGCCTCTGCGGCATTTCGGGGCCACTGAAGTGGCTGCTGCAGTTTGAAACAGGAGGTGTTGTTTCATTTTTGGGGTTGCTTAACCCCCTCCTAACTGCAATAAACCCAGTGAGTAAGGACACAGAAATATTGCCCTGGAGGAAGGGGACCAAAAGCTTGGAAAGGGATGAAAGAAACGCTTCCATTACAGCTTTCAAAATATGTTTCTTTAGCTGAAGCTGCTAAATTTAACTCAACTTTACGCACTGGAAAGGTTTTGCGGTTGGTTTGGGTTTTTTTATGGTGAATAAAGTGTTTTTTCCTCTTTAAAACCCCCACCAACTCGCAGGCTGAGTGATGCAGTTTCGATGTGTCACGGAGGCAGGGTTGGTGCAGATCCACTCTTGGGACACTCGTGTAAACCCCAAAACAGGAGACTCTGATCTGGAGTGGGGCTCCAGGTGCCTGAAACCAGCACCTGCCCCCCTTGTTGTCACAGCACAGCAGGAGGGTTTCAAAGAAGGCGTGGGAAGGGACGTGTTTCACCCCAGGTTCACACTGAGAGGGGTGCAGGGCTTTGGTTTTGGCTCCTGCAGGACTCAACTCCCTGCCCAGGGGACGTGGGGACAACAGGGGGTGGGGGTTGATGGTGGGAGTTCTTGCAGCTGATCCCAGCCCGAGGAGGGAGAGGGAAGGGAAAGCAAAGGCAGGAGAGCCCAAGCTCCACCCCAAAGGTTCTCCAGTGAATTGGGTCACTGTGCCTCAGTTTCCCCACATGCCCTGTGGAGATAATGCTATTGCCACATAGGCAAAGCACTTGAAGACTGGCTTCCACAAGGATTCATTCCTGGGGAGCTGGAGCTGTGGGACACCTGGTTTGATGATAATTCACCTCGTCCTAAGGCACGGGTTGGAAATAGCTCCTGTGACTCACGGTGCCAAGAAGGCCAAAGGGTTTCAGACGCCGCCTCAGGGGCAGTTGGATGTTTTCCTTGGGACAGGGAGGTGGTGAGATGCCACCTCGGAGTCTCTGGCTCTTCAGGTCCCTGCGGCGAGCCCGGCCCCTGCTCCCCAGGTGACTTTTCTCCTCAGTGCTCATCTGCCTTTCTCCAGCCTTGGCAGATGTTTGGCTGTTGCTCATCTCCCCTTTCCAGAAAGGGACATGGAAAATATAAATACCCCTTTTGCTGTGGCTCCAGGCTCCCCTGGCTGGTCCTTCCTGCATCACCGAGCACCTTAGCTGGGGATGGATGTGTACAGGAAGGCACAGGTGTGATGAGTGCTGGCCCTTTGCAAGTCCTCTGTCAGCCATGGGGCTCCAGTGCTCCCGGAATGGGAAGTCCAAGAGCCTGAAATCTCATCCTGGTCCTGTTCATTTTTTTTTTCTGATTTCTGCATTGTGGATGTTTCGCCTGCTTATGCTGGGGAGCAAAGAAAATTGGTGAGAGGGAGGTGGGAGAGCAGTGCTGGCCCTGGGTCAGTCATTTCCTAATGTATATCTTCTGTGTTTTCATCTTCTCCTGTGTTTTTATCTTCTCCTGTCACAGCTGATGGCCCCAAAGTGCAGGGAACATCTGCCATTGAGGAAAAATGAGGGATGAAAAGGGCCTCCAGGCCCTGTGTGCACGTGCCTGTGCCACGATGTGATGGTGGTGGGCAGCCTGCAGGGGAGAACAGGCAGGTGATGCTGTGAGTGCCCATCTTTGGGTCACTTATCACATCTCCCATGGTTCTTTCCCTGTGGCCTAGGATGTGACTCTGGTGTCTCTCAGCCTCGTGAAAGTCCTACTGCACAGGCAGGCTGGTGCACATGGAATCAAACATGCACTGACCCTCTTCCAAAGAGTCCTGGGACACGAATCTGGTGGCTCTTGGCCTTGTGAAGGTGTTACTGCTCAGAAAGACTGGTGCACTTGGAATCAAACACGCACCAATCCAACACCCAACCCTTGGATGCACCGTGTCACCCTGGCAGGACAGGACGGGACCCGCCAGCAGGATCTTTCCAGGGGGACACGGCAGCACCATCCCCCTGCTGCAGCACAAGCCTGGTGGTGACAAAATCATCAGGAAGCCAAGTGACTATCAGCACTCAGCCCCACGCAGGACCTGCTCAGCCTTTCTGCAGCGGGTTTTCTAAGAAACACCGCAACAGTCGGGGAGTGTTTACGGGAAGGGTGGGACGGGCTCAGCCCGCGCCGGGGCAGCCACGATAGGGCTTTGGTGATGCAGGGGGGGGACAGTGGCCACCCCAGGGGGCTCGAGCTCCTCAGGGTAGCAGGAGGTGTGGTGGTGGGGAGGTTTCTGTTCGTGTGAGAGCAGCTTCCCGGATGGTCTGGGGGAAAGAGAGAGAGAGGAGGGTAAATACAAACCACATCTCAAAATAGGCCTTAGGCTTTGAAGGCATTTGGAGCTGCGTTTCCTGCTTAGAGCAGCTTCGAGGAGATGAAAGACGCAGCTGAGTGAAATAGAAAAAACCCAAGAAAATAAAAAAGGAAAAAAGCAAAACAGAACAATTTAACGCTTTTTGGTGCAGGCAGAGGCACAGTGGTGACACCAGGTCACTCCATAGGGCTGGGATGTGGTTACAGGACCTGACATAGCAGCACCATGGCTTGGAGAGCAGGACTGGCAAAAGCCTGGGGTGAGCTGGGGAAAGGAACCATTCACTGGACATGGGGATATTAAAGAAAAAGCCCTGGAGCAAGCCAAGGAGAGGAGGGTCCTGCCATCTCAGATCTGGCTGGAGGACTTGCAAAGTCACCTGCAGAAAGGGAAAAGTGTCCCTTCCTTAGAGCAGACACAGCTCTGTGCACGCAGCAGGTGCTGCAGCAGCTCACACGCAAACAGGGCTTCAAAATTCAGCACGCTACATTAATTAAAAAAAAATCCTAAGATTAAAAAAAAAACAAACCAAACCAACCAAACCAACATCCCCGAAGCCGAAGCACTGCAGAGCTGGAAGTGGGGGTTTGACAGTTTGGAGGGCAAAGACTCGACCGCCGCCGACTGACAGCGACCGACTTCTCGTAATCCGAAGATCGGCTTCCTCTGCTCCGCGTTGGCCGGAGGTGGGACAGCCCACGGGTGGCTTCCTGCACCCACCAGGCACCCGGCACCCGGCATGCAACACCCAACAGAGCCGGAGCAACAGGATCTGCCTTACCAAAATTTAATTTGGCTGACAACATCCGGCCTTTCGTAAGGTCGCTTTGATGTTTGTTTACTCGCCGTCCCCAGCACATGCTCCGCTCCAGCCTGCGGATGAATGGGAACGAAAAGGGCTCTGCGCTTCTTTGATCTCTCCCAGGAGAGCTGCCAGGAGCAGTCAGCACTGGAAACACCCCGTGGAGGGATGGATCCGGCTGTCTCCGTGGTGTTTTTGGCTGGCTGGTCCTGGTTAACACTGGAGTGGGACCTTTGGGATTAGTCTGGCTGGAGACAAGCCGCCAGTCCATGGTGTGGTCACTGGTACCCCACACACTCACAGCATCCCTCATCCCACCCTGCCACGAAGGAATGTCTCCACCACATCAAGTGTTTTAGTTTTTATTTAAAACCGCATAAAAAAAATAAGATTTCTCAATTCCCCTGTACAATATCAACTATTAACAAACTCCGCCGGCTACACACGTGTTACAGGTACAGACTGGACAGTGCAGACAGCCCGGGCCAGCTCCCCTCCCCTTCCCCAGCCCCAAACAACACCCGTGGAGAAAACCAAAACTCATCTGCAAACTGATATTTGCACGTGGCAAGGAAACAACAGCACCCAGAAGTATGTACACAGACAGCTGGGGAGCAGCAGCCACTCCACACCTACGCCAGACATCCGACAGAAACACGACGGGCCCAGGGGTGGACACAGGACACACACGGAGGGAAGACCCGAATGGAAAACCGCGGGATCAGCAGCTGTAGAAGCAAGGCATGGGTTGGAAACCCACATGAATTATAAATAAATAAATAAGTTATCCTAGCGGCTAGGACTCTTCCTTTAAAAAAAAAAACAAACAACGAATTCATGAAAATAAATTAAAAAACAAAAACTGGAAACCAGAAAAAAAGGCAAAATGTTATCACTATTCACAACTGTACATCAAGCTTTGCTCCTGTAGAGCTATGTACACATTTACAGCTGTTGGTTTGCATTGTTTGTGCATTCGTGAGGGCACAGAGAAGCAAAGAACCCCAGAAAATCCACACGGGATGGAGGCACAGGAGGCGAGAGGCATCACTCACTTGGGTCCCAAGCATCTTCTGACCCATTTTCTTTTTGAAAAGGGAAAATGTACTATAGGCCCAGGTGAGTCTCGGAAAAGCAGCACTGTAGGAAAAGTCAAGTCTTTCCTCCAGCACAGCCCAGATGGAAACGGAAGGCACTCGAGCACGGGGACAGTGAGAAGGGACAGTCACTCAGCCACAGGCCCTGACCTCCCCAAAATCAGTTTTCCCCCATTGAAGCTTTTTTTGCAATCAGGTCTCCGATCCTCTCGCTGTCCCCAGTTCAGCAGGTCAAGATGACACTTGAGAGCCTCCAAAAGCAGAACTAAAACTCCCCCCACCAAAAGTTACTGGCAAAAGCTCAAATGAGACAAGGTCATTCAGATCGAGTCCAGGGCAGCTGGTGTGGATGGTGGCCACCAGAGCTTGGAAAACCAGGTCTCCAGCCCAGCTCCAGGACAAGATGTGCGTGTTCCCACCTGAGCATCCCTGCTCAGTGCTACAGTCGTGATGAAAAAGTCTGGTTTTCTTTGCTTCTTATGACCAGGAGCTGCGTGGAGCTGTTACTTGCTAGGCTCCTGGATCAAACTGTGCAGGTGGATCTCTGCTGGTTCCAGGTGAATGTCCTGCAGCCAGGAATGGTTGAAAATGTCCTCCAACGACGGCCTGTCCGAGGGGCGCATGGACAAACACCACCTGATGAGGTGTTGGCACTCTGGGGAGAAAAACCAGAAACCACTGGTCAGTGGGAGAAGGTTCCTGTCCACCCTGTCTGCAGTGCCCAGGTGATGCTGAGGGTGCTCCAAGCTGCACCCAAACCTCCCCATCCGTCCTGTACTTGGGAGGAGAGCGGGATGGCAGGACATGTGCCCCCTCCTCCAGCCACGTGTGGGAGATCAACCCCCTCCAGAGCTGTAAGAACAGCTTTCTCATGTGCCTCCCAAAACCCGTCATCCCACCCACGCCCCAAAACCAGGCACCCACCTAGAGAGACCCGCCGTCGGAAGAAGAGCTGCCCCCGGATGATGTCCTCGTCCTGCTCGAAGGGGACGTCCCCGCAGACCATGTTGTAGAGCAGGACGCCCAGGGACCAGATGGTGGCCGAGTGGCCGTGGTAGCGGTGGAAGCGGATCCACTCCGGGGGGCTGTACACCCGCGTTCCTGCGGGACGGAGGAGAGCCCGTCAAACCCTGGGCCGGGCATCCCTGGGCGGCAGCGCTGGCACAGGCGTGACCCGCCGCCTTCCCGCCGGCACGTGACTCTTGTTTACAAACTTTGGGTTGTAAAACCCGGGCGCGGGTGCCGGAAGAGGGCAGCAGGGCCCGGGGAAGGCCCGGCCGTTACACGCGAGGGAAAAAAAACACACCCACGGGTGGGGGAAAAAAACCACGCCTTTCCCTCCCACCCACCCCCCCCCCGC